AAAAAAAAAAAAAAAAAAAAAAAAAAAAAAAAAAACACCTAGGTAAAAATCTGGTCACTTAAAGGCTGTGTGACCTGGAACAAGTGATTCCACCTCCTTCCAGCTTTAGAACTATCCTCCTGGATCTCACTTCAACTCTGATCAGTGTGGGAAGAACTGAACGGGTTAGACTGCCTGCCACCAGCACTCAGGCTTTGGGCTATAAGGATACTCCCCCTAGAATCATGGACTGAATTGTTAACTAAGTTAGAGCTTCCCCAACTCCCTGTGAAGACACTACAGTCGCAGTTAGGCCTGAGAATTTGGGATAGGGGATCATAAAAACCAGTTACTGTGTTGGACAGGTCAAATGATTGCTGACAAGGTAAAAACCTCCCCTCCCCATGCCACATCCCCATTCTTGCTCCTGGGGTACAGGCACCAGAACCAACTCAAACCTGCACTCTGAGAATGAGAAAGGATGCTGAGTTCTCACTTTCCAAGAACTCTGAGCCCCGCCCTTAGGCCTGGGCATGGAAAACCCCATCAGCTTATTTTACATCTTAATAAGAAAAAGAAGTGAAATTTCTGTGTCCTCGTCTGTTCCAATCTACATAGCCAAAAAGGATTAGGATTGTCCTTTCCTTTTTTCTTTTTTTGAGATAGAGTCTTGCTCTGTCGCCAGGCTGGAGTGCAGTAGCGGGATCTCAGCTCACTGCAACCTCCCCCTCCCGGGTTCAAGTGCTTCCCCTGCCTCAGCCTCTAGAGTAGCTGGAACTATAGGTGCGTGCCAGCACGCCCAGCTAATTTTTGTATTTTTAGTAGAGACAGGGTTTCACCATGTTGGCCAGGATAGTCTTAATCTCCTGACCCTGTGATCTGCCCGCCTTGGCCTCCCAGAGTGCTGGGATTACTGGTGTGAGCCACTACCCGGCCCAGGGTTGTCCTTTCTTTGATCTGGCTCGTGGCAGAGATAAGAGAACAGAGTCAAGAGTCAAAAACTGGGTAAAAATCTGGGTCACTTAATGGCTGTGTTACCTAGAACAAGTGATTCAACTTTTTGGAAGCTAATTTTTTTTTTTTTTTAAGAGACAGAATCTCACTCTAGCCTTGGCTGGAGTACAGTGGAGTGATCTTGGCTCACCATATCCTCCACTTTCCAGGTTCAAGTGATTCTCCTGCCTCATTCTCCTGAGTAGCTGGGATTACAGACATGAGCCACCATGTCTGGCTAATTTTTGTATTTTTTATTAGAGATGGAGTTTTGCCATGTTGGCCGTGCTGGTCTTAGACCCCTGACCTCAGGTGATCCATCCACCTGTGCTTCCCAAAGTGCTGGGATTATAGGCATGAGGCACTGTGCTTGGCCTTCTTCATTTTTCTTTAGAGCACTGTTGTGAAGATTTATAGCCTAACTCTGTATTCTCCAAAAACTGCTATCTCCAGAAAAACAGGAAGACATTGTTCTTATCATAAGCTTTCCTATTATTATAAAAGATAGTAAGAATCAACTACAATTCTTCCCCTGGCTTTTCAGACTTTGATAAAACCTTTCAAATTTCTTTAATTTATATTCCCACCCCAGCTCCACCCCTACCTC